AGGCATAATCACTTCCCGTAGTACCTTCTCTCCAATCACTTCCATCTCTCATGCTCTGCTCTCCTTTCTACCTAAACATATGTTTTGGTGTTTCCCATTTAAAAACAAAACAAATTTAAGCAAAGCTATTCAAAACAAGCACAAACTAAATTCCTTCCTTCTAACCTGCATTCTGTTTTAGATCCTGTCATATCTTTCTTTCTTTTACAGTCAGTGTTTCTTTGAGAGAGTGGTCTACACTCAGCTCTTTCGCTTCCCTAATATCCATGCACTCTTCAAACCCCATCAGTCTGCTGAAGTGCCTTAGCCAGGTCTCTTGTGCTCTGCTTAGACACTTGAACTAACTTGACCCTCCACAGCATTGGACATGTATGGTCACTAAGACCGTAACACTGAAGTCTTGTTTGATTACCATGAACTAGCACTCTTTTTTGTTTCTATGGGTCCCCACAGGCCAATCACAGGGTCTTTCTCTTCATCCTAGCCCTTAACCTCTTCCCTATACTCCAACTATGTATGTTAAGCGTTCATTCTGAGCTCCTGACATATATTTAACAACTTCTAGAACATCTTCTTTTGGTCATCTTGCTTGTACTTCAAATTCAGCATATGCAAACATGACCATTTGCTCCTCAAATTTTGTCCTGTGGCCTGTAAGCTTATCATCAGAGAATGCCAAATCATCCACTCATATGATATTGCACATGTTCAACATTTTCTGATCATGAATATTTAGAAAAATGAATTTTGAAAGATACAATATTTTCTTTTTCTTTTTACTTTTTAGTATTTTAATAGACTTTTAATATTTTTGCCACTATTTTATTTTATTTTATTTTATTTTTTATTGAAGTATAGCCAATTTACAATGTTGTGTCAATCCCTGGTATACAACATAATAGTTCAGTCATACATATATGTACCTATATTCATTTTCATATTCTTTTTCATTATAGGTTACTACAAGATATTGAATATAGTTCCCTGTGCTATACAGTATAAACTTAATTGTTTATCCACTTTATCTACAGTAGTTAGTATCTGCAAATCTCAATCTCCCAATTTATCCCTTCCCACTGTATTCCCCTGGGTAACTATAAGTGTGTTTTCTAAATCTGTGATTTTGTTTCTGTTTCGTAAATGGGTTCATTTGTGTCTTTTATCATTTTTTACATTCCACATATAAATGATGTTGTATGGCATTTTTCTTTCTCTTTCTGGATTACTTCACTTAGAATGACAATAAAATAATACCAATTGCAGCAACATGGATGGACGTGGAGATTGTCATTCTAAGTGCCCTCTTTTCCCCTCTGAATGCCACTAAGTTAGAAGACTGAGAACAATTGAATTATTTTTTATTTGAAACTTTTAATTTTATCTTTCTGCATATCACTTTGTAAATGTAGTACAAAACCCAAAGGTAAAAAAGAGTATAAAACAAAAAGTTATTCTTCCCTTACTCCTATCTTTGTCACTTTAAGTTTGTAATATTAAAGAAATTATAACACTGTATGGGTGATCACATGCACTAGTTCCTTGTGTATATTTATAATGATAATATGATTACATTAAATGAGAGTATGTCTATACATATATGTCTATGTATATATATTTCATTACACATACCACATGCAACACACAGTTTTTCACCCTGCACCATGCTTTGGGGGAGCTGTTTATGAAGGAGATAAAATAATAGGGAGAAGCATAAAAATGAATAAGAAAAAGTAACTTGCTTCTGGTATAGGAGAATTCATGTCATGGTCCATGCATCAATACACACTGACCCGCAGCTTAAATGGTGCTCCTAGCACAGGGGCACCTGTGCTGCTTCAGACACTGGACAGATGGTCAAATGCCCTGAATCGCTGGACCAAAGTCTGAAAAATGGCCTTAAGGGCCCATCAAAGGATCCTTGAGACAAGGTGTGAATGTGGGATTTATCTGTCATATTATAAAATGAGATACGCCCCTCCTCATATTCTAGGAAAATACATACTGTGGCAGGGTGCTCCTTTAAAGTAAGTTGTGTTTCTGGAGAGGTGAGTGCCCAGTACTCATCCTTATAAAACCTGATGGCCCAGAAACCATCCTCTGGTTTTATACAAATCCTCCCCTTCCTCGTTACATGAGGCCTACAAATTCCCAGGTCCCAGGCTCCACTGTCCCCGACTTCTACTTCCCAGTAGCATCTCCCTGAAGTGATGACTTGATGACCCAGCACACAGGGAAGGGAGTAAAATCTCTGTGGATCCTCAGGTAGATCTTGAGGCTTCTCTCCCCAGATTATACGTCTGTTCTTTTCAGACAAGATGAGGGCAGGATGAGCTGTGACTGGATCCAGAGTAACGTCCACTGCAAAGACAATAACCCTTTCAATCTCTAAAAAAGAGAGATTCTGGAAGCAAAGATACAAGCGTGAGATATCTTTGAGCTTGCAGGATGAGAATATATTCCCATGTGGAGGCTTTCATCAGCCCTCTTCCAACATATCCTGAGACTGATCCTGGGAAATAAGGAGTCGAGTCCCTCTTAGGTCATCAGGGAATGACTCACCAGCCTGGAAAAATTCCTTCCTCCAGTCTGAAAAGAAAATAAATATGCATTGTCAGACCTAGTATCTGAATTTCCTGGTGCAAGAGGTAATTTCTTCTTTCCAATACTTCTTTTGCTAATGACCCAAATTTATTCTATAACTTTTGCTTGAACTAAAGTTTCCACTGCTTTTCGTATTAAATATAATCATAATAATTAATTCCTCTATTATACTTTATGTAGTACAGACTTCATATATTCCCAACATACAGTTATCTTCTTAAACAAATAGCAAAATTACATGTCTGCCTCTCAGCATCTTCACCGCATTTAGGTGAGACAATGTCACTGACTTGTGGCCAAACAAGTGTGCTCAGCAGGGAGCCATACCATTTCCAGTTTTGACTTTAAAATAGTTCATGTGAACTTTTTCACTATCATTATCATTCTAACACTTTCTTACCTATCGCCAGAACCGCAAGACCCTAAAAACAGAGCAGACAGAAGACTAGAAAAAAACTAGTTCTCAGAGTTGCCCAGGAGCGCTACTGACACAGGTATACTCATATTACCAGTATGAATGGGTTAAACCACAGAGATATGGGAGTTGCTTTTTATAAAAATCAAAGTTGATTACACTGATCAAGGCAGAAAGTGCTATCATAAAATGAAAGTGAAATACTGCAGCTTACACTTAAAAAAGTGTGATCTGGTTTCGTGCATAGGCAATAGAGTGATAAAACAGATAAAACTAACTGCATGTGGAGACATCCATGATAGGAAGAGACAAAACTGATGCTAAAACTGTTTCCTATGACCGTTTAAAAAATATATCTTGTGCCGTAAACAGGACCTGAAGGAATGAACTTGAAAAGAGAATATTCATTGGGTCTATTATTAACATCCTATTAAAAAAATTCATTTTTAAAATATTCACCTTTGTTTCAAGCGTAAGTGCAAGTGAGTTTTAAAAATTCCTAAAATGGGTAAATTTTCAGAGTTATACAGGTAATTTTTCTAGACCAAGAGTCAGCAGATTGGCCCAGGAGCCAAATTCAGCCTACCACCCATCATTTGTGTACATACAGTTTTATTGTAACACAACCATACTAACTCATTATGCAGTGCCTACGGCTGCTTTTGTGCTAAAAGGGCACAGCTGAGTAATTGTGACAGAGACTACATAGCCCACAAACCTTAAAATATTTACAGTCTTGGCTTTTACAGAACAAGTAAGGCAATCACTTTTGTAGGCCACCTGAAATAAAAGATGAAATTAAAAGTGCACTTTTAGCACAAAGGAATAGTGCAATTTCTTTAATGAACCAAATGACTTGGGAAAGTTAAGAATGAGCAAAGATCACAATGATGGACTTCTTACAATTTTACCAGGTAGCTTCAAGAGAGAAACCATGAAGAAGACACATAAGGAAAAAAATGAAATTGACAAATGTATCTACAGTTGTACTTTGGAAATAGCTATTGACACATGAAACTAACTGGTTAGAAGGAAATTTATGAGAAGTACACTAAATTTGGAGAAAAATGTTGTCAAAAATAAGATTAAGAGTACTTCTGGAATGGTTGAGTGAATAGCTCAGCAAATCCCTTCCCCAAAAGCAACAATTAAGACTGGAAAGATTGTCCAAAATGACTACTTTACAGCACTGGAAATTGACAAAGGTACATATCAAATTGAAAAACACTCATTCATGAAAAAATATTTTAAATGATTAATAAAAGGCTGCCCATAAAAGGATGATTTCTAGTTACAAAAAAATTAAACTAGAAATAAAAATCAGAAGGAAATTTTAGATTTAAACAACATTTGGATATTAATTAATATATTTAAAAATAATCTGTGAATCAAAAAGGAAATCAAAAAAATTTTTGAAGATATTTTGGATTGAATAAAAATGAAAACGCTACCTACCAAACTTTATTGGATGCAGCTAAAAGTAATGCCTAGAGGAAATTTAGAACTTTAAATGTCTTAAGTAGAACAAGAGTATTATCTTAAATCAATAGCCTAAGCTTCTCTCTGAAGGAACAAAAAAGAGAAGCTTAGCTTAAAGTAGTCAAAATAAGGAAATAATAAAGACTAAGTTAGAAACCTGTGATGAAAAACAAAATTCATTAGAGAAAATCAATAAATCAAATATTGCTTCTTTTAAAAGTCAGCAAATTTTACTAGACTGCTCAATAATAATGAGAAACCCAGTTATCAAAATCAGATATGAAAGAGGAGACATCACTATTGAATCTACAGAATTTAGAAGGCTCAAATGAAACTTCTACTAAAATTGCATGCCAATAAATTAGACTTAGATGAAATGCACAAATTCTTCAACGTACACAAATTACTCAAAATGACTTAAGGAATAGAAAATCTGGATAGATCTATAACAAGTAAAATAATTGAATTGTTCACTGAAAATCCCACTAAAAAGTTCCCAGGCCCAGATGATTTTATTGGTGAGTTTCATCAAACATTTAAAGAATAAAAAAATACCAATATTCAACAAAATCTTCTAGAAAACAGAAGAGGGTAGAGCACTTCCCTTCTCATTCTGAGGCTAGTATCACCCTGGTACTAAAGCCAGACAAAGACATCAAAAATATCCCTCATGAATACAGATGCAAAAACTCTCAGTAAAATAATAGTAAACCTAGTATAACAACTCATACAAAATTATTATAGATCACCACCAAGTGAGGTTCATTCCCAGAATGCAAGATCAGCTTAACATGTAAAAATCAATTAA